ATCTGAATAAACTTTATACAAATGTTCCCAAGTTGAATTTACTCAGTTTTCTTCCACTAAGCAAATTATTACATCACCTGCAAACAGCTGACGTATGATTAAAATAATTCAATAGTTAATAGTTAAATAGTTTATTTAAAGTACAAACATTAAATCTTTACACTTTGGGCTCATTGAGAAAGATTTTGGTGCATATTTGGGTTTATGATGATTAATAAAGTGAAATAAAATGCTAAGCTATACAGCATTATAATGCTAACATTGTTATAATTATATAAAGTCAAGCTAAAGAAAATGAGTCAGTGGAACAAACTGAAATTAAATCACCTGAACTTAAAATACTGAACACATTTATGTTCAGAACAACTGATTCAACAGTTCATTGTTGAGTTGAATTCATGTGAATGAGTGAATCAGTTTGTCTGGAGGATTCATTTATGTTAACTTACCTCTTATTTAGATGTGTCAGGTTTTACATATTAATATAATAACACAGATTTTTGTGAAATTAAAAAAATTGAAAAAAAATAAAACTGGAAATAAAGACAGTAACAGTTATCAAATGTGTGCTTTAATTAACAATTCATTAAGTACATTTACATCAATAAATGTCTTTAAATAATTAATAATTTGTTGGGATAAAACTAATTCAGAGCCATTTTTAAAATGTGTTTAAAGGTCCGAGTTGTGTTAAAGTGAAAACCTCCACAGCATCGAGAACAATCCACAACCCGGACCGGTCCTAATCAGAACACCCACGAGTCTGCACCTGAACCCGAATCGGGCCGCCTCAAGGACGACAGCAACAGTCAAAGGTAAATAGTTACATATTTAAGGACAAATTTATTCATTAATCAGTTATTGACTAATGAATCAATCTATAAGTTGTATCCAGTATGTCGAGTAATTACAGTTAAATATACAGGCAACAAATTAGATAACAGAAACACAGCGTTCAGGTTTAATGACTCAACCTCACCATCTCCAAGACTTCTTTCAATCAGAAATTAAAATCAGCCAATGAGGTGAGAGTATTCCACTGTTTTAATTTAGAGACACAATGTTTGACACTGTGATGATGTCACTGCCACACACAACCTTCGACCAATCACAGCTCTGCTCCTTCATATTTCTACCTTCTCATATTTTTTCTTCATCGCCATCTTCTCCGCTTTCTTTATGGCCCGTTTCTTCGACCGCCTCTTCAGGCAGCACTTCACCGTCACTGTGATGACCACCACCAGCACCACTAGTGCTGCCACGGCAACCAGCACCGGGATCAGGATACCTGACATCAATCCATTGTCAATGTTTATCTCAGAATCCGTGCACTCGGTAGAGTCCTCCTCATGTTGTTTCCCATCCTTGTCGGAGCAGACGCACCTGTAGGAGCCCTCGGTGTTCAGGCAGGTGTGCCTGCAGGGGTTGCCACCTCTACACTCGTCAATGTCGACACAGTTTCCAGAAGTGTCCCTCTTGAAGCCGACCTCACATGGCTGGCAGATGGTGGTGATGTTGACGGGTGAGTCGTCCAACAGCCGCCACATGGCAGGGCGGCCCGAGCAGCGGAGCTCCACGTGGACGTTGGACCAGCACTCCACCTGGATTCTGCTGCTGTTGTCGGGGTCCAGACGGAAGGACCGGACACGAGTGATATTGGGGCGCTGACACGAGTCCAACTCCACCGATGGTTCAGAACCAGAATCAGGCTCAGGTCCCTGCAGTTTAGGTCCAGTTTTAGGGTTCAGGTCAGGTCCTGGTTCTTGGGCAGGACGTTCAGGTTCAGCTATAGTTGGTTCTGGTTTTTGTGTTGCAGGTCTAGGTTCAGGTTTATGTGGTTCTGCTGTTTCAGGTTTAGGTTCAGCTGGTTTAGGTGTTCCCCCTGTCAGTCCATCTCTCAGCTTACAGATGAACTTGTGGCCTTTACTACAGCCGATAGGGATCAGACCCCACCCCGTCACCCTTGACTCCTCTAACTCCACCTGTAGTGCCCCACAGAGAACTGATGTGCAGGTTGACTCTGGCTCCACGGTCCAGCGGCTCACCTGCATTTCTTTGCTGCCATCCTCCGTCCACTGGAATCCTTTCAGGGGCAGCATGGGAGCCACACACTTGTCTTTGTCCTTCCTCAGGCCAACCCAGAAGGTGAAGTTGCTCTTATTCAGAGATGGAACTGACCTGGAGATGAAACTGAGGATGTCATTGACGTCCTGGTTGGTGGCGAGGGTGGTGAGGATGCCAGGGGAACAGTTCTCTGTGGCGCTGTTGAATTTGACCTCGGTGTGGTGGATGGTGTAGCGTGGCGGTGAAGCTGGGTCAGCTGAGATGTCTCTGACCGCGACGATAACCATCAGGTAAACCCAGCATGAGCAGAACCAAGACTCCATCTTCTCTGACTCCTCCTCCTCCTCCGGTGATGATGTCAGTCTGTCAAAACAGAGATGATTGCACAAAAAGTTTGTTGTTGTTGTTTATTTGGCAGTTGACCATGGACGCTCCCTCTGTAGTAGAAATCTCATTCTAAGGTAACGAAAACACAAAGATTCTTACATTCAGTTGATTATACACTAATGAAAACATACCTTTGGATAACAACAAACTGGGCCGTTAATGATTTGTTTCAGAGCATTTTATGGAGCCTAAAGGCATCAACCTGCTCATCAGATCACCTGAAACCTCTCCTTTGATGTCATAATATGCAGGCAATACTGTGCTCTACATTTCTCTTTCTTCTGACAAGCTGAAATGCTGATTCTCTGCAATGATCAGATTATTGGTTGGATATCTCTCCCTCCACTCTATATCTCTCACTAGAGGATGAGGAACAGGAGTGCCTTGTCTTTCATTGCAAACCAAATCTACTTATGGGTAAAACTAAAGTAACCTTAGACCTTTAATTAAATGGAAAGGGACAAAACTGAAGATGTTTTTGGTTCTACACAAGAAAAGGTATAAGATCAGGAATCTTTAGCAACCACCTGAATTGATGAATGAAAATTATTCTATAAAAAAGAATAATATTTATAGGATGATTTTTAAGCTACTAATTCTGTGAGAAGATTGGCTTTTAGTTGTCTTACTACATAATAATAATAAATATTTATATAACAGTTTATTTAAATAGCACTTTTTAAAACACACTTTTAGAAAGTGCTTCATATTTTGAATAAAATACACATACAAGAATACAAGTATACATACCTACATATACATCTATACACACACTCATAATAGATAGACAAAGATTAAAGCAAAGGCAAACATTAAGCACTTGTAAAAAGGTTCCTTAATGTTACACAATGGACCTTTAAATGACTTTAATTGTTAGATTACTAGTGTTGACAGTTTATAATCAGTGGATAGTGTCTTAAACCTGCACTCTCTCTAATGTCCAGCAGGGGGCAGCTCCACT